GGTTGAACACCGAAAACTTGTACTTCTTATCAATCTCTTGATCTATTCCTTTCACCACTCCATTTTCTCAATTCAAGTTTTCAATGTGCAGCCCCTATTCACGACCATATAAGGGAGCCGATATTACATAGCAGTCCACTATCTTTTCTTTGTTTTTAACGAAATGTTTCTGTGTCTTAATATTTTATTCAAATATGTCTGTGGTTTTTGTGTGATATTTTCCTCATACTTAATTTTGGTCTTTCTAAATCGTAGTTCGCATCTCGAGTTGATGGTTTTACTGACAGTCATACATTGTTTTATGTAAGAGTTGTTCAGTCCTTTCGTCTGGTTTTCCCTTACTACGTTCCCTGCGAGTTCACGAAGATATGTCTGTCTGCTTCAACATTGTGTCATCTGCAGAAAGAGAAAACAGGAGCCTCAATGTGTTCCAAGACTGCGCTTTGCTCGTGTACAAGCGCAGATGCGAAGAAAAATACCTTGATCATGAAAATGTTTTCTATCACATCCCAAATGAATTCGCCTATAAAAAAAAAAAACGGTATTCCTGTTTTCATTCTAAATGCTAGTGTACCGATGATGATGGGTGGGGATATGCTGATGACATGGCATTTGTATTTATAGTGAATAAATATGAATTTTTCCAAAACAGAAAATATGTTCTGGAATCGGAATTAAAACAGTGATGGCATCTACTCTGAATCTATCATAAAACAAACTATTATCTCCATCATTATCAAAGCGTTTCTCCCCGGATAACCTAAAAGGAATTCCGGACTGAACACTTTATTTAATCTACGGAGGTAGACTGTTCTCGTTCCTCAGCCTATGTCTATGTATATTACTCTTGTGAGTGGGTTTACTACATCCAAACTTACCGACTGAACGCTATGAGTAGGGGCCCTTCGTGTCGATTCCACAAAGTGTTCTGAATTTCAGGGCGAGCAATAACCGGGCAGTACTATAAAAAATAATTCGATATATCTCTAGGTGCGGGCAGTGGAATGAGAACAGTCTACTCCCATAGATTAAATAAAGGGTTTCTGTTCGTAATTCCCTGTACGCTACACGGATCGACATACACCTGATGAAGGCCGGAAGATACAACGGCTGAAACCTTGTAATAACATAAACGATGATGAAGACAGTAATCCGCATGTCGTGTAAATAATGATAACTCTTCATCCGAGTAATTCAGAGAGAGATTCCTTATTAATTAACTCTAAACATGACAAATAGCTCAATATATGAATCAGCGAGAATAGATTTAGTATAAGTGAGAAGGAAAATGACTATAGGATAAACTATGCAAGAGGTAGTTTTATCAGAGGTCACGAGATGGGGACACAACAAGAACCTAAGAAGTCGTGATTCGCGTATGGATGTCATGCATAGCATTCGATTCGTTCAGAAATGTATAAATTATCAACTATATACTACGTTTTTCTCTGATCCATCATTAAAAATAGCTTTACACAAATGAATCCTCTAGGCCAAGTGTCGGCAACTCATTCGACCCCTCGGACCGGATCGTGTTATAATGACGGGTCGCGGGCCGGACGAAGGCCATTAATGAAAAATTAAGGAAAATTACAAATGCAAACCCCTGTCAACCTAAATATTTAAAACCATAATGAAAATAAACATTGAGATATCAGAAAAACAAAAGAAAATTTAAAAATAAAAAAAATAACAAAAATTACTTTTCTTCAAGGAAAGTCAAAATACTTCAAAGTGAAAAAATCAACCGAAGTGAAATGGATGAAATTATGACGTGTAGGTTTGAAACTGTTATTGAAAATTATTCCACAAACGAACCACACACACAAACACATCAAACAAAAACGAAGCACATATACCCATACATACGAGTACAAATAGTTGCAAACATATACACTTACGTACGTACACATGCGGTATCATCCACACATTCATGAGGTATGTATGTATAATGCGCGTATGTTTAACATTTCTGCTAACTCGCACGTCAGTCCCTCCTTGGCCTCTTTCACTTTATCGTTCCTTTCGCTTCTGCGATCTTTTAATGTAGCCAAGGATCATAATATGTATCCATTATTTGACATTAAACGTAGGCAAAGCAACTTGGTAAAATAAGTCTCATGAAAGATAACTGGCAGATAGTCTAATTCGAAAGCCTTCGTCTCTCATGTTAAAAATAGAGTCATTGGTAATCAGGCTCGCGGGCCTTGAAGGAAGATCTCCATCTTCAGATCTTACAGATTAGCACAAAACAAAGAATTTTAACAAAAAAACAAAAGCCAAATTACTAATAACCATAATAGAGCAACAACTAGGGCACTTCCAGGCGGTGTAATGGTTACTAAGCTTGTCTTGCTCGAACAATTACGACTGAGTTCAATCCTCACTTGATGCCCCATATTTTCGGCCTTGTGCCATATCTAAGCTATAGAGCAGAAACTACTAGAATAGATAGCACAAGGAACTAGAATAGAAAATAATGACATAATCAAGATGTTCA